CAGGGAATGGAAATACACGTTTATTCGTGGTCACATTCCCACGAAATGAACACGTAACAAGAGGCTCGACCAATGGCATTTCAGAATTTCTTGCACTGACATTGTAAGAACTTTTGTAATTGAACAAGGTTGGTGGCAGAGCGTCAATAACATATTTTGAATAGTGTAATAACTAGGGATGGTGTTAACAGTTTTCGTAAGCAACATTGTTCAATAATGAATAATAATGCATGCCTCGGGCATTGCGTACACAAGTTCCTGCTATTGTTTTGTTTTTCTTTCAATTTAGTCAAGAAACATGATGGTAACAATATTGAAACAGATATATGTTTTGAGGATCTCAATTACTCACTGTAAGTTGTTACATAATTGCATGTCCTAAATTGACATACATATGTATACATCCATGCGGGCCATGTAATACATGACGTATGTATATTACGTCATTCGTTGCTATAAATACACACATGTACTTCATTAGAGAATATAGCTTCCTGAAAGTGACGGATAAACACGATTCCCTGCATGATAGTTTAGAAATAACGATATTTTCACGAATGCTACATAAAAAAAAGGTTTATGAACACAATCAAAGTTTATAGACGATACAATACAATACAATACAATACAAAAAGGTGTCAGTGATTCTCTAGAAATTTTCAAAACGAGACTTATTTTGAGGATCAAAACGGAATATGAATACCACCGTTTTAAAAATCAGCTACCTAAATTCGAAACATTTTAGGCAGTGGACGGTGTGTTATGTGATATTCAGCATGATGCACTTCAAATTCATCTGTAAACCTAGGTTTTACTTGTCCACTTCGCTGTTTAGGGCTTTTGCCCTATTGAGTCATATCTAGTCTTCTTTTATCCGCTTTGGTAATTGTTGTGGTACTCTCTGGTTTCGTGACATTAGTCGTGTCAGAGGATTTTGTTCTCATGGTGGATATCAGTCTACACACACAAACACTGATTTGCCATCCTCTTGGCTTGTCATTTTCCTCAACACACTGAACGCTTTTCAGCGCTCCCGGTTTATTACAGGTTTGGCCTCATGGCTTAGTAGTGTCGGTTTTCAGCTTTAAAACATATTTTTTATGTCCTGGGTACGACGTTAAAATTGCATCCGGTTGCGGAGTTTTTGTACTCGGGAGAATGAGGTTACCCTTTGCCGCAACTACCTCCAGGTCACCCTTGGGCAAGGGGTAGCACCTGTGAGCCTTGGGTGCCAACTTCCCACATAACAAGTTCGGTTGACGTCAGGTAAGAGCATACGGTCGTAAAACTCCTTCACAAATAGATCCGCACAGGTGGACAATTTTTCATGTAAATATGTAGATATTAGTTTCAGTTGTACTTAGCATTTGGCAGGGGGGATCGTAACCTCTTGTGGTGAGAACCAGTGTGACTGGCCTGCCAACGGGGTGCTAAGGATTTCATTGGAAAAGTTATCAGTTACATCCGTTAATGTAATTTCGTTTTACATACCCGTAAATCAAAAATCACAATACAATACAATACAATACAATACAATACAATACAATACAATACAATACAATACAATACAATACAATACAATACAATACAATAATAAAAAAAAGAATAAAAGTAATAAAAGAATAATAAAAGACTTGAGAAATCGTTTTATTTTCCAAGTCTATACTCTATTTTAATAACACCATCTTACTAACGCAATGACAGTGAAAAGAAAGAAGGCAACAACACCAATGACAGACGAGGCAAAGAAAAATCTGCAACTCAGGATCATATTTACTAATTTAGACTTGCCTTCAGCCTTTTGTGATTGCGATTAAAAATTACAGGACTTTCGCGTTCACCCCTCGTTAACGCGATTCATATTTATTTTTCAAGAATTTTTCATCGGAATCGCAACAGACTGCAAGCACGTCTAGGTCTTATTATGACCAACCTCGCGAGTGGTTCGAAGGGGACGATTAGGCTGAAATATTCGCATCAACGCAAAGGTTTCAACTACTTAACCGATGACGACACCGATACGTGAGACCGTTGAGGGCCGGTGATCAGGCGAAGAAGCGAGTACAGGAAATCTGTTGCTCGTCGACATCGGCCAAATAAACAAAGCCATCATTTCCGTTTATGCAGAGAGCGTGCACCCATCTAATTTTCCGTTGACACTGCCGTTTTAGTTTTCTATCTTCAGCAGTAGTTTCAATCCATTCACACAGCTTTACGTTTTTTTTACTCTTAATATTCTTAATAAAACGATATTGATTGCCTAGAAACAGTTTGACCCGTTACACGCTTTATTTGGGAGTTCAAAGTGATGAATATAGTCATAACAAATCATACTTGCTAATGACAAAAAAAGAACGTAACATCGTGTGAAACGTACTTTGTGCTCTACTCGTTTTAAAGCTGCCGCCTATGCTAATGAGCATAGTTGCAGACGAAGTCTTACAACTTCGAGATGGCGTTAATGTTACCAGCTCCCTGATGTTACACCGTAATAAGGCAGCCAACACCAACCCCTTTCATCCCCTCCGGGGGATATTATATATATTAATAAATAAATGTTAAATGTTTGCTGATTACTGAACAGTGCGGCATGTCGTCAGTAAATACTGTAGTTTGCGAGCAGTCGGCGAAATAACCATTTAAAACCGAACATTTCTATAAGGCATGCGGTGTACCCTTACATCGATCGACCATTGGGATTCGCGCTTTTCGACCAACCAACCAATGGGAATCGTGCTCTTCACAGAGTGACAATGCGATCCTTTCGCAGAGTGCAATAATCGACATTCGACGAGTTGCACAATCGTGTCGCAGAGTTAGTTTTTAGACCCCCATACATACATCACTATGTGGAAAAAGTTTACCAAACGATCCGAATAAAAGGTGTGATTTCACAGACCCACTCTTTTCAAACAATAGTATTTTCACTTCACCCAAAGATAACCCCCTTGATGAAGATAACGAAGTCAACCCCCCTGATGAAGCTAACGACCAACCCTCTTCGTCAGACCTTTCTGACAGAGAATCAGAATTTGACCAAAATGAAGATGCTGTTCTTTCCTCATCGAGTACTGCAGCAATCCTTCTTCGGAATGATCCCGAAATGGTAGGTTCCACAACAGGTATTTATGCTTATCTTTTTATTTTAATAAAGTTTTCTGTGAAATGCTCAAAAAATGAAAGCCATGATACAAATGCACTAAGACGTCTTTTTTTCAGACAGGATCAAACTGAAATCAAAACTTATTGTTTCACGACATAAATGAAGGTGTCAATGCCATCAAACATGGCAAGACCATTGACGATGAACAATGGAAATACTTGATTAAGAACCGATCACCTGGTGAAGCATATTCATTTCCAGCAAAGGAATACAAAGACAAAAATGAAAAATCGGGGAAAAGGAACCGCTATTGCTGTCTTGACTGGTTAAAAAAAAACATGACTTTCTTGCATATTTAAAAGACACAGACGGCTTATTTTGTTTGTCATGTGTTCTTTTTCCTGTAAAGTTTAAACAAGGGAGTCGTGCAAGTCTTCTAATCAGCGCTCCTTATCGCAACTGGAAGGATGCGTCAGCAGACCTTGGTCGTCATTCTATTGAGTTGGAATATCACAAAGATTCAAATGCACGAATGCATGCATGTTGGGGTTTAATGCAAAATCAACATTCACGCATTGATCAGATCCTTCGGGCTGGCGCCGGAGAACAAATTGAGCAAAATAGGCGTGTCCTTGAATCGATCATACGTTGTCTTAAGTATTGTGATGATGATGGGAATCCCATTGAAATGGATGAAGACCAAAACATGGGCAATTTCAAGAGTCTTATTAAACTGGTAAGTCGCACTGACCATGACCTTCAGCACCATTTGGAAGTATGCAAAAAGAATGCATCATATATTTCGAAAACCTCTCAAAATGACATCCTACAATGTATCATGGACTATATCCAAGGTCACATTGTAGATGAGGTCAAGGCCCAAGACTCTGGACCCTTTTTTTGCTGATGAAGTCATCGATGTTAACAACTGTGAACAACTTGGAGTGATTGTGCGCTACGTGAAGGACAACAAGCCCAATGAGCGACTTCTTCAGTATCTCAAATGCGATAGTACTACTGGCGCAACCATAGCTGATCTGATAATACAATGTATATCAAAAGTAGGCCTTGCTCCCATGCAATGTCGGTCACAAACTTCTGATGGCGCTGGGAATATGGCTGGGAAAGATAAAGGAGCGCAAAATCAGTATCGTGTTAAAACGGGTAATACGAAGGCTATATACGTTCACTGCGCATCACATCAACTAAATATTAGTTGCCTTGTCCAAAGCATCTCGAGTGCCTGAGATTTACAATATGGTTTGTCTCATGAAATCATTGGGACTTTTCTTTAAATTTTCTCCTAAGAGACAACGAAAGCAAGAGAAAAAAATTCAGCAATTTTGATACCAGCCAAATGAAAAAATAAATTAAAACCGCTTTTGGCGGAGCGCCACACAGCATTTGAAGACTTAGCTACCCTCTATGAACCATTGCTGAATTGCTTGCAAGGCATAGCCTTAAACGAGAACAGCAAATGGGACCCAAAATCGAGACAGAAGCCAGTGGCCTCAATGTGCAATTGCAAAATTCCAAATTCATTGTGTCATTTGTAGCAGCTCGCTACATAGTTGGATTCACGAAAGGGCTTTCAAGAGAACTTCAGGGATCAACAATGGATATCCTCTCAGCCATTGACAAGGTGGAGCTTGTCACTGACGAGTTACAGACCATAACAAAAAGGTGACGCAGAATTTTCACAACTTTTTGCCACATGTCAAAATATGTCTGCAGTTGCCGTCGAACCAATTTCCAAACCACGAGTTGTAGGACGCCAAACCCTTCGAGCCGAGCCGTGCCGTGCCATTTTCCTTTATTAACAACCTGATCGAACAACTCAAGGACAGGTTTCGCTATTCAGGCCCTCTTTCTTATACCAAAGAATCTTCAGAAGCTGATGGCCGACACCGAAGATACGATAGCCTCTTTCTTTTGGGAGGATTTACCCAGCCCTGATGAATTCAAGCAAGAACTTCGGCTGTGGAGGCGATATTGGACTCCAGAAAAAGATGCAGACGAGCTTCCAACCACTCTCTCGGGCACTCTGAAAAAGTTGAAAGTGGACGGCGTCGAGAAACTCTATCCTAATATAATCACCATTTTTCGTATGGTTCTTACCTTCTCTGCAACCAGTGCCACTGTTGAGCGAACCAATTCAGCGCTGAGATACGTGAAGAATGTCTATAGGTCAACCATGGGTGAAGACAGGTTCAATGCTCTGGTTCTTCTCTTCGTGCATAAGGACATTCCACTTGATTACGGAATAGTCATTGATATGTATGCTCGAAAACATCCAAGACGGGTGCTCATTGCTAATCCATTATCAAATTGACAGATAATTGCCATTGGACAATGGTGACAGGTGTTTTTCAGTGTTTCATGAACTATTTCAGAATGAGTGGTAATGTAAATACCGGTATTTCGAATGTTAAAAATAATGTGGTATGTAACTGGGATTATAAAACGAATGATTATTAATTTCTGATTATTTTCGGAATTATTCAATAATACCCTGCATTGCACCTATCATAGATTATTTTATTGGAATATTATGTACGGTATGGAGTCATAATGAGAGATGACAGAAAACATTAGGCCAACTTATCGGGCCCCCTATTCCAGAATCCTGGATCCGCCCCTGAGTGGTGACAGCACTATTACCACGCACGCTCGATGGTTGCAAGGCTGGTAAAGCATAATTTTATAACATAATGATTTACAATTTCCAGTGCGACTAAAAACGAACACATCAGACTCGGAACCACACTCTCTCAACTGTGTCGGAACTAAGTAGCTTGAATGGCTTTGGTCCGAATGTTGCATTGCCTCTACATCCAAGCCAACACAGCTCCCACTATGCGAGCGATATTTATTCTCGGGGGGGGGGGGGATTTCACCGCCTGGCAACCATCATGGTGAAAACAAAGGCCAACAACTCTCAGAAAACTGTACTTGTGAATGGTTGTTGACACCTTCTGAACCGTGTAACAAGATTACCCTGCATATGCAACATATTTAAATTTGGTTGTTTAGAATTTCTTCAAAGTTAAAGGGTCGTCACCTGCGCACGCGCGGGAATTTAGTCACAAGCGACGTCACGCTATGGCAATCTGACGCATGCGCAGGTGACGACTTTAGCTTTTCGACCAGCGTTCTACAGCAGTTCCCATAGAAATACAAAATAGAGTGGTGCGCGTCTTGTGACTTAGCTCCCCCCCCCCCAAGGATTTTGATAGCTTGGTCAAGCATGTTGATGAAAGAAACAATATGATTGGCTGTTGGTAAACTGATTCTAAACTGTGAGGGCATTGTCACATACACATAGTCCTAATGAAATACTTCAAGGTGATAGTAGAGTGCTTCGGCGGAACATTCACCTTGAAAATTCAAGATGTGGAAAAAGTCTGGCTAAACTTCTATCAGTATCAACAGAGCATAGCTCTTGTGGCTAACTGTGGCGTGCCAACATAATTTGGTAAATCTGTTCCACTGTGGCATGATAGTATGCCCTAATTCAATTGTGTGGCAGCTGTAAAATACACTGGTTGGCAATTTGTATTTGAAATAAATTTGACATCTTCGACCTACTGCCTATATTTTAAATTGTCATATCTGGGATAAAAAGTGGTTTATTTCACTATCAAAATATACATCCCCTATATTCTGAATTATGCGTTATTTTGAAATAACCCTTTTATTTGACATAGCAATAACCCAGCTGTATTAAGCAGTTACACTGGTACAAATCTTTAGCCAGGGAGTCGTCCTGACATGGAATCTCGAATATACTGGATGCTGATGTAAACGTGAGATCGTTCTTGCTTATTACATGCAGTATTTAAGCTCATTATTTGGAATACTCCAGTACTGGCACTATACACGCATAGTAACAGGATAGCAGTACAATTATGACGCTCCCTGTAAACAGACAGGAGTTAAAATTTTAGTCAGTTGTTTCATCTATATGACAGGAAGGTACCGATCCACAGAGCTGTTCGCCGGGAATGAAGATTTTCATTCAGCATCAATCGAATATATTGATTACATGTATTTATTATATATTTCACTCCGCCTAGAATGAGAGTGAATAGCGCCATCTAGTGTTTATTTATTAAATACGAGAAACTTGTTTTTGTATTGTAAAATATTATATTTATTACTAGATGTTTTTTCCTTCTTACGCAAAATGGCTACTTTGGCCAAACAATTCCCGCACCGTAACAATGAAATGGCTGAAAGGTACTGAAGCTAGGTAACACTGTTTTAATGCTATTTATCCCATGTAATAATAGGTCTCCTAATTAATTCCTATTTATATTGACATACGGCGGATGCTACAAGTAGGACAGGATATATTTACTCTTTTGCAAATACCTGATATATCTTCATGGTCGTAAACTTTTGTCGATGTTCGAAGACTGATCATTTCATTTCGCGTAGCACATTAATTTCTATACCAATGTTTAATGTGTATTTTGTCCTGTGTACATGGTTTACATGTGTTTTTCTACTTGCCTTAAATCCCTTATGGGACTATTGAGTTTAGATTAATGATGGGCATAACAGTGCTTATTTCTGTCTTTTCCTTTTCACGAATAGGTGATTTAGTACCCGTAAATGTTATATCACTCAACAACTAGCTTGAATAGACATGGAAAACTACGAAAAAGCAACACACCATCTAAGCTTTCATAATGTGTACTTTTCAACTTGACCACCACGAGTAAAAAAAATAGTATCTTCACCTGAAATCCAATGACCTGTACATTCGTGTATTCGTTGTTTTCTTGAGAAGTAAAGCTTGCTTGGCACGAGAGTCATGATCATGAACAATCATGACACTTATGCTTCAGTTTAATAGTCAAACTGGTATTTTTTATGTCTTCTGAAAACTCACAGTTCCAATGTCACAGTACAATAGCAATAAAATGGCAAGATTGTCTAAATCACGCCCGTGTTGTTCATCTTGGTCTTTCGGGCTTACAGTTCTATTTTATCATAATTTCGTTCCGTTCTTTCTCGTATGCCTTTTCTTATGTGATAGGCCTTGATGTAAAATACTGCTTCTTACTTTCAGTATTTGTATTGATGGACTTTATTTAAAAATATTGAATGTCATCTAAATTTGTTGTTTATTTGTCACATAGACATGGGTTATCCAATGAATAAAAACTATAGCACATGACATTTTTTGCTTCAATTTGCACTCAAATAATACTGGGGTTGTCGGAGTTAAGATGTATTACAAATAAGCGAATACAAACTAGATCACAAGATTGTTTGAGCTATTAACCGAAAAAAATACATAACGCTTGAATTACTTATTATATTATATTTGGCCTGGGGAATATATCTCTATTGTCAAAAACAGTTAGTGAAACCAGGCACATGATTTTAGCCCCACTATATTGGGTTAACAAAAAAATGCTTGAAAATCATTTTCACTGAGGACTAATTGCTTAGTTTATAACATCGTCTAGGAATAATCCATAATTATACACTAAAATTGTCCGTGGTTTAATTGGATAATAAGACTATGAATTATTTCAATTGTATAATTTTTTGTGGCACCGCATTCGCAATAACTGGGAAAATAACAAGGCATTCTTGAATTGAGCACAATTAATGTAAAGCGTGTGTCAACTAAAATAAAATGAGCTTGTCTCTTAATATTCTGACAATTCGGAAATATGTCCCGTAATTAAATATGCACTACAATAAAGTAAATGTATTTCATTAACACGTACATGTGGTCTAGATTACCGCCATTTTTCCCGTTTCTATTGTTTTTAAATTGATTTGTGATTGTATGCTTATTTTGAAATTACTTGTATAACATTATTGAATCATTATATAAACTTTATTGTCACATTATTGTCACGTTTCGCTATTATTCCTCCATTATTTCGATCATTATTTTGTTACAAACTCATTCCCGATATTTCAATGAAAAATATTCTTGGTAAACCTTTTTGTTCCAATACTTACCTGCTTCAAACCAGTACAGAATGGTTGTGTTTTTCCAGATGCGCTAGATGAAGGTGGTGATGGTGGTACACTGCTAAGCAAAGCAAATGTTAAGACTGCACCAATTAATATGGGAATACCATATATTATCAACTACAAAATAAGAGTTTACAGAATAAAATTTATGTTGTAATCGTCTTTCCTGGATCACATATCAAGATCAATGACTATTCGTGTTTGGCAATTCTGTAAAAGCTTGGTTGAAAAAGTGAAACTGGATTTTAGATTATACATCAAAAGAAACGGAATCCAGATAAGCGTACATGGACCCTTTAAATAGATACTTGAATAATATATGCGAGAGGTTACGCGATGATGAATATGAATTTGCTTCATATCTAGGAGTTTGTTTATGCATATAGTTGGCGTATCTTTGTACTGATCCTATCAATCTAACCTTTTGCTTTTTTGTAGGTTATAATAACAATCGCAATTGAAGTGAATTATGTATGTTCAGAGAACCATAATAATTTATTAATACATCATTTTATAACATAATATCGAGAAATGAAGCATAATAATATACCAGTTTTCATGCACAGTGAATAAGAACACATACGAGTAAGGTTGTAGTGATTTTCAGTGTGCACAATGAAAACCAGCACAGTTCAACCATTAGGTTGTGACATCGTTTTTAATTTTAAATAAATGTAGTGAAATAGAAGTGTTTAGACATATCAAACACTGAATAAAGTCAGGGACAATGTAGGTGATGATTAATGAACGTGGTTCACAACTGTAAGAGGTCATACTAGTCGTTGCCCGGTTTGACGACAAATCACTATTGATACCATGTTTTACCGGCTGTACCTTAGTTAATCTGCAAATTATTGTTTTAGTAAATTACCAAAGAAAACAAAATGATGCCCTTACGAAAATATAGAATTCAATCTGAGGATTATTTTGTATTTAATAAATCTTGTTACTGTACAATTCCATAGAAAAATTATACAATTTTGAATGTTATAGAAATTACAATAGATTCACATTTTCATCAGAAGTATTGTAATATTCGGCGACAATACTTGTTGCGGGACCGATGATTACATTTTCTATAAACAAAGACACATTATTTTAACTGTATGTATGTGAATACACATAAAAATCAAATTAAGACGATTAACAGTACATATATACATGACCTATTTGAGTAGATTCACTTTTCTATTTCTAATATTTCTAATTATTTTCTTCTGGTTAGAATTGCATATCTGTTGTGAAGGCAAAGATACATTACAAGCCTACCACAAATTCCATGAATATAAGGAAAACAAAGCACTGCAGCAAGACAGAATTCACTGCCAA